TCTCTCCGGTTTCGTTCTCATCTTGTGTGTGTTACCGTACATGATATGAAAGAGTTTTCTTTGTGTGCATATTAATAGCATGTATATGTGTTACTTTAGCCGTGATATATTCTTATTAGAGCCTTTATGATGGTTTGGTTCTTAGATCGTTGTTCCTGCATGAACTTTATTGATTGAGATCATAATAACTGCAGTGTTTCAGCTGTGATCAGGCTGATAATATTCTGCGTTTATATTGAGCTGGTATGAGTTTAGTGAATGTCTCATTAGATAATACACCTGTTTGATTGATTGGTAACCTCTGGGATGTTGAAAACATTACATTTAGACTAGTTTTTAAATTTTTTATAAAGAAAATATGAATGATTCATGTTTGTGTAAAAGCCACCGCCATGTTGCTAAAGTGTATAAAAGAGTTAAATCACTTTGTATGTTTACCAGTTTACAAATGAATATTGAGTTATAGTCATGTGTCGTATATCCGAGTGAAGCGCTTCTGGGACAAGAACAAATGTGGGCGGGGCTTGATTTTGTCTGTGTGGGATTGATTGGATGGTTGTGGTTTGCTATTGGTGGATCTCATGTGAGTGACAGGTTGCTCCGCCCACATAATGATGTGCACCAATTAATCATTTAAAATAAATACTGCAATATTCAAGCGGCAACCTTCCGGTCTCTCTTGATTCAACACTGAAGAGACTTAAACTGCAGTTCCTCCACTGGCCACTAGAGACCGGCTGCAGAAGAGACTCAATCCCATAAACCCCCATGTTAAAATGCCCAACTTTACAGCAGAATAAAACATGTTTACAGTCTGGTGGAAAAAGTTTTGGTCTAAATCGCTAATGTTGCCCTTCATGACGACTGTGAGGGGGGTGAATGTTTTTATAACTCATCCGTTTAAATCATAATAAGCCTTAAAGTTGTGCATAATTAAGGGCGTGGCCACTTGAGTGACAGGTGGATTGCCGCTGATGTCACTACTAGCCGTTTGTCTGTTAGCGTCACGTCACCTCAGCTAATCCGCCTCGCTGCACATTTTCGTTTATTCGGGAGTGACGCTGCCAAGATGGCGACGGCCGGCTCCGCCCACTCTGGGCTTCAGAAACACTCTTCAGAAACACTACAGGTGACGTCACACACACTACGAACATGTTTTATACAGTCGATGGCAATATTCCATTAAAACAAAAGCAAATACAAGAATTGGCAGTTTTGATGTCATGGTGACTTTAAAAGTCTCCATTTAGCAGATGTGCTCGTGCTGGTGTAACTGTATGGAGACATTTTAGGGCTTTTTTCTGGCAGAAATGCTCTTTCCGTTCAGCAAAAACCCACTGGCATCATCTCTGGCTGTGAAGGCTTCGAGGATCTGCAAGCATACAAATTTAAACCTTTCCCAGTGCCAGAATCTCTAATGCGGCATAAAACCACTGCAGAGGCCGGCCAGAATCCTCTAATTGCTCATGTTTCACTACAAATGTGACAAGAGTAAAGCAATTAGCCTGTGATTTCTGAAAGCTCGGAGTCTGAGAGAGAGATCCGTGAGATCTGCCGGATTCACTGCTCACCAGCCAATGAGGAGCTTCTGCTGTTTTAGAATGTTAATATAGTATAAAGATAGTTAGTATAATAATGTGTGTGCGTGTGCGAGAGAGAGAGAGAGTGTGTGTGTGTGTGTGTGTGAGTGAGAGTGAGTGAGTGAGAGTGAGTGAGATTGTGTGTGTGTGAGTGAAAGTGTGTGTGTGTGAGTGAGAGTGAGTGAGATTGTGTGTGTGTGAGTGAGAGTGTGTGTGTGAGTGAGAGTGAGTGAGATTGTGAGTGAGATTGTGAGTGAGAGTGAGTGAGTGAGTGAGTGAGTGAGTGAGTGAGTGAGTGAGTGAGTGAGTGAGTGAGTGAGTGAGTGAGTGAGTGAGTGAGTGTGTATATTTAGCCATTAGTGTCTGACTCGAGTGTGTGTGTGTTTATATTTGGCCATTAGTGTCTGACCCTTCACTCGAGTGTGTGTGTGTATATTTGGCCATTAGTGTCTGACCCTTCACTCGAGTGTGTGTGTGTGTGTGTGTATATTTGGCCATTAGTGTCTGACCCTTCACTCGAGGATTAGAGCGTTAAGCCTGATGTTTTAATAGCGTCTCTGATATAAACTTCAGTTTGACTTCAAAACGTGAATCAAAACGTTGATGAATCATTTCAGACTGAACATCAATTCAAAACTCTGATGCATCAATTTGTTTGCAGCATCGCTCAAAAAATATTCATGCCATTTTTCACTCTGTATATTACAATTTTAGCTTTTTTGACTGATCAGTGTTCGGACACGCTATTCATTTGCTGCTTTTTGCATAATTCACTACCATTCAAAAGTTTGGGGTCAGTAAGGTTATCATTTTTTTTAAAGAGAAAATTCAGCAAGAACGCATTAAATTGATGAAAAGTGACATTTATAATGTTTCAAAAAGTATATTCAGTATAAATGCTGTTCTGAACGTTCATTTGAACTCACCAAAGAATCCTGAAAAATAATTGTATGTCAGTTTCCACAAAAATATGACCTGTTTTGAACACTGATAATAATCATAAATGTTTCTTGAGCATCAGATCCTCATATTAGAGTGATTTCTGAAGGATCATGTGACACTGAAGACTGGAGTAATGATGCTGAAAATTCAGCTTTGATCACAGGAATAAATTACACTTTACTGTATATTCACATATAAAACATCTGTTTACATTATACAAATATTGCACTTTTTTTTTGCTGTATTTTTAATCAAATAAATACATTTTTGGGGAGCAGAACAGACCTTTTTCAAAAACATTACTATCTATTATATTTCAAAAAGCAATGAAATAGAGAGCGTCTCTCTCTCTCTCTGTGTGTGTGAGTGTGTGTGTGTGTGTGTGTGTGTGTTAATTATCACGGAGAAACACGTTACGCTAGATGACAGTAATTGTGTTGTGTACACTAAGAGACACGCAATCAATACCCTCATTATAACACAGCGCAAACACGAGGGCTGGTCTGGTCTCGAAGTGTGTGTGTGTGTGTGTGTTCTCGTAGCTTGTTTTCATCATTAGATGATGATGGTTCTCCATGAAGGGTGAGGGAAAGGTTTCATGTTGTGTTTTTCTCTGCGTGAAACTACAAAGAGTTTGTAAATTTGTGATTCTGTTTCCCAGAATAGCTAATCAGGCATCTGGCCTATTTTAGAGTGTTTCTGGTCATTTACATTCATATTACGCTTTTATATAATCAGACTGTATAAATATGAGACTTTATGAGCTGAGAAATAAAACAAACAGGCGTTTCTTGTCCAAAATCATGTAAATTTTTCCACCCATAAAGCTATATTTCACTTCAGTATGTATTGTTTACAAGACATAAACGGAGCAGTCAATTTTTATAGAGGCTATATTCTACATAGACCTTTTTTTATTTCTAATGTCTTGCGTGAGCGCACAAAAAATGCATACGCAAATACTCTAAATGCATCGCAAATGTTTTGTCGTGTTGCACACGTTAATGTCTTTTGTTGCTCTCTGGGTAACAAAAAAAAAAAGAGTTTCCTTCATAAGTTGCATATGTTTGTGTGTCTGTGCTGTTAAAACATACAGATTTCTGCTGATATTTTCAGATTTTTGCCCCTTTTATTCCTTTTTTTTTAAATATTTCCTTTCATGTGGAGTGTAATAGAGCTGTTTTTGGATGTAAAAGGTCTGCAAAGTTATTGTCTCCTCAAAGAAAGAAAGTGATTCTGAACTGAAACGACTCAGTAATTCAGTCTCACTTCCTACGTAGGTTTGTAACACATTAGCATAATGCCAGTCTCTGGTCTTGATTGGCTGAACAGCGTCTCTTAGCCCCGCCCTCAAACACTGTAGTGTATCTGAGACTGGAAGAGTTCGTTTAGTGTTGTTCGTGTCGAGAAGACGCTGTTTTCTGCCATCGTTACTGTTCGTATCACTGTAATCAAGAGCTGAGATTCAGATATGATAATGAGCGTTTGCTTTCTGACCAATCACAGCAGAGCAGCTCTCAGAGAGGCGGGGCTTAGAGAGACTGAAGCGTTTCAGACACTGAGAGAAAGAGCTGAAGGTGCAGTGGAGATTATGAGAGAATAAAGTGTTTTTGGATGCATGTGAACTAAAACAACATTAGGAGCCTTTAAAATAGCATAATGGGGCAGTTTAAATTACTTGCTCAACAAAATCCACCATAACAGTAGTTGACGTGATAACCGATTGTCAAAGATGATGTCAGCTCCCCTCGCAGTGCTGAGAATACAGTGTGCTCTTGGATTGATATAAATTGCATTCAGATTCAAATCATTTTTTTTCATGGCGATTTTCCACCTTGTCGCTGAGAATTTTAATTAAACCGATTGTTTTTATACGGTACCTTTAAGACTGCTCTAAATTTAAGGCCTGTTTGGACAGTAAAGCTGTGTTTTGGTTTCTTAAAGAGGCCCTTTAACAAAGTCTTGATGTAGTTTCAGGCTCTACTAGAACAGGTTTTCCTGCTTGAATGTTGATTATTCTCCTCATATTCTCCATTGTTGCGGCTCCTCTCTTCCCAGTCTGTCAGTAATGCTCTGTTTACTTCCTGTCTCTATGAAGCCCCTCCTTCTGAAAAGAACACTGTGCTCTGATTGGTCGGCTGGATCAGTGTGTTGTGATTGGTCGAGCGCTTCGAGTGTGTTTGGGAAAGTCCCGCCCCTTCCCATAACCGCCAGTTTAACACACTACTAACTAACTCAACCAGGCCCCGCCCCTTTATTCTGCGCATGAATTATTATAATGAGGAATATTGTGACGTGTTCGTTCCCGGGAGAAACTCAAGACTACAATGGAGGCGTTTCAGGAGTTCAGAAACACTGACACTGATATAGAGAAGAACTGGAGCGTTTTCATGATCAAACTGCAACATCACACACTGAAGATGTGAAGAAAGTAGAATAGCTCGTCTGTAAACAGCGATGTGTGTGTTCCCTCATCAGGCTCTGACGACCGGCAGCATCCCGGGCTTCATCGACGTGGTGATGAACCTGAACTCTCCGGCTCTGCTGGAGGATAACCTCATCTGGCAGGCCAAGAGCGCCGGCAAGCGGATCATCTTCTACGGCGACGACACGTGGGTTCGACTCTTTCCCAAACACTTTATGGAGCACGACGGCACCACCTCCTTTTTCGTGTCGGACTACACCGAGGTGAGAGGAGCTGAACTCAAAGTGTGTGTCATATAGAGTCGTTGTGGAGCTCTTCGGCCATTTGTGACTGAAAAATTGTACATTTGTTTTTTTTTTCACTCCAAATCTTTTAATTTGTTTTCAGTGACAGTACAGAATAAGACATCATAAACGGTGGACAGTAAGAAAGATATTGTCCATTATTAATCCAATTGGTCAAAAAAAAAAAAAAAAAGAGTAGAATTTAGCTACGTCTCAATGTAACAATAATACAAACACTAATAATAATAATAATCATCAAAATAATAATAAATGGTTATTAAAACTAGATATTTTTTAATAAATAATCAAAATTTGTCTTCATTTTAACAGTAAAGCTCTGTTGTGTAGCACTTTCTTTGACCAAAGTTTAATTTCATATGATTAAAAGATAAGTGAATGTTTTATCCCTTCATTTGATTGCCAGAAAAATGTAAATTAATCACAACATAATGTTTAAAAAAAACTAAATCAAAACATTTCATTGAAACAAATATTTTTAATTAATATATTTTGTGTTTTTTATGAATTCAATCAATTAGACATTCTTTTTGATTATTAGAATTTAACTAAACCATTCAAATTTAATCCAGAACACTTAAAACAGAAAACAGGGTTTGGTGAAAATGTCATTTTTGTTAAAACTGTTTATAAATTGTTTTTAAATTGTATAAGTTTAATTGATTTCAGTCACATGCTTTTTGATTATTACAATTAATTTAAATATTAAAATGAACTCCAAAAAAAAAAAAAAAAAAAAAAAACGGAATCCAGAAAAATTTAAACGGAAAAAACAGAATTTGGAAAAAAGTTTTTCAAAGGGTCATGATTCCTCAAGCTTATGTTTGTTTTTGACCGAGTCTTATTTCTATTTTAATCTCTCGGTCTCGTTCCCTCAGGTGGACAATAACGTGACCCGTCACCTGGACGGCACGCTGAAGCGGGACGACTGGGATATTCTGATCCTGCATTACCTGGGTCTGGATCACATCGGGCACATCAGCGGACCCCACAGCTCCCTGATAGGACCCAAACTCACGGAGATGGACGACATCATCAAGAAGATTCACTCCTCGCTCATATCAAAGGTGTGTTTCAGCTTCTCTTCAACATCTCGGATCCGTCCGAAAGAAGCGGCGACTTCATGATGCCGTCGGATCTATTCGGTGCATGTTTGTGTTTCTCTAAACCTTCTTTTCTTAAAGGGATAGTTCACCCAAAAATGAAAATTAGGCCATGAATTACTCACCCTGAAGTCATCCTAGGTGTATATGACTTTCTTCTTTCAGACGAATGCAATCTGAGTTCTATAAAAAAATGTCCTGGCTCTTCCAAGCTTTATAATGGGAGTGAATTGGTGTTTGTCTTTGGAAGTCCATAAAATTGGATCTGTCCATCATAAAATTGGATCTGTCCATCATAAAAGTGCATCTGTCCATCATAAAAGTGCATCTGTCCATCATAAAAGTGCATCTGTCCATCATAAAAGTGCATCTGTCCATCATAAAAGTGCATCTATCCATCATAAAAGTGCATCTATCCATCATAAAAGTGCAACTGTCCATCATAAAAGTGCATCTGTCCATCATAAAAGTGCATCTGTCCATCATAAAAGTGCAACTGTCCATCATAAAAGTGCATCTGTCCATCATAAAAGTGCATCTGTCCATCATAAAAGTGCATCTCTCCATCATTAAAGTACATCTGTCCATCATAAAAGTGCATCTGTCCATCATAAAAGTGCATCTGTCCATCATAAAAGTGCATCTGTCCATCATAAAGTGCTCCACAGGCTCCGGGGGTTAATAAAGGCCTTCTGAAGTGAAGCGATGCGTTCGTGTAAGAAAAATATGAATATTTACAATAATACTAAAATAACACTGGTTTCAACACTAGCGAACCTCCACAGAAATCTCTCCGTCTATCTGTGCTTGTTATATTTTTTTAAACGAAAAAGTTCGGTTAGTAGTTTTTTTTTTTTGTGTCAGATGAACAGATGAGTCTCAGTGATGAGTTTCACGCTGGATTTTACTGTATAAATAGGCCAAACAGTGTTGCGTTCACATTGTAGATCTCATAGTTGCCATGGAAACACTCATATGAGAACTTAAAACCTTTCCAGACACATCAGTCGCTCTCATTTCCAGTCATAAACGTTCAATACTCAGGCCTAAAGCATCATTGTGTCGACGGTGAATGTAACCTGTGGTTCACGTCAGCTCTCTGCTCTGGGTAATTGCGTAGTTGTGTAATTATGCACATTTATCTGTGTGACATTCGCCCCGGCTGATTTGCAGAATTACAGTTAGCTCTAAGTTTCACAAGTTAGGCTCTACTAGAACAGGTTTTCCTGCTTGAATGTTGATTATTCTCCTCATATTCTCCAATGTTGCGGCTCCTCTCTTCCCAGTCTGTCAGTAACGCTCTGTTTACTTCCTGTCTCTATGAAGCCCCTCCTTCTGAAAAGCACACTGTGCTCTGATTGGTCGGCTGGATCAGTGTGCTGTGATTGGTCGAGCGCTTCGAGTGTGTTTGGGAAAGTCCCGCCCCTTCCCATAACCACCAGTTTAACACACTACTAACTAACTCAACCAGGCCCCGCCCCTTTATTCTGCGCATGAATTATTATGAGGAATATTGTGACGTGTTCGTTCCCGGGAGAAACTCAAGACTACAATGGAGGCGTTTCAGGCGTTCAGAAACACTGACACTGATATAGAGAAGAACTCTATCCTCAAACTGCAACATTACACACTAAAAAGATGAAATGAAAGGCTTAAACACGCCTCTAGATTGGTGACATCTGTATAACCAGCTGCGTCCTACTTTAGCCTGTTATAATATCTGCATGTGAAATCTGTTCCCTCAGCAGGTGAGAGAGTTTAACTCCCTACAGGACCAGAGGAACACATCCAGCACTCATTAATCATCACAGATCTTATACAGGTTATCCAGAGCAGTGCCTTAAGTAACAATGAGTTTCAGAGCGTGATAAAACGGTGCGTCAGGAACATCCACAGCAAGAGGGACTTTCAGGAGAAATCACATTACCTTGATCTTCTGGGATAAAAGAACATAAAAAGAGCCTTTATAGGGAGTAATAAGTACAGTCAAACCAACAATTATTCAGACACCAGTTATACTTCATTTATGTAAGTGAGGAGAGCAAAATAAAGTGTGACATATTATACCCAATAATTCTTCATACCAGTCAAATGTATAAAAACTTGGGAGCAAAAATGATTCCTCCACTTTGAGCTGATGATGTTTTGCTGAAGTGTGTTTTCTGTAATTGCTAATGCTCTTTTCACACACACACTGAACAACATGAAGCATTGCTTGGTCACTGGTTGAGCTAAACTGGTATTATCTAATTGTGTAGTTAAATTTAACAGCTGACAGATATTCAACATAATTCATGTGTGAGAGTCTAACAGAAGGATGGACAAAACCAGTCAAATATCAATTGATTTGATAACGTCATATTTTATTACCATTTTCTAAACTATAGCGAATAAACTGTGAGAAAGTGAGAAATGTTGAAGGCGTCTGAATAAATGTTGGTTTTACTGTATGTACTACATTGGAATTTACTTTACAAGTGTTAAAGTATGTGCTATATACAGGTGAAACTTTTTTTGTATATCGTGCAACAGTTCGTGTATTTCAGTAATTCAAATTAAAAGGTGAAACTAATATATTTAGTATATATAACTATATACATATGCAAGATTAAACTTTTCAGAGGGCTGACATTTATGCATTTAAAATCCTTTTTTTTTATTGGTTTCATGTAATATTCAAATTTTCAGAGATTTTGACTTTGGGGTTTTCATAAGCTGTACTCCATAACATCAAAATTATAACAAATAAAGGCTTGAAATATCTCAATATGAGTCTCTATATAATATATTAGTTTCACCTTTTAAGTTGAATTACTGAAATAAATGAACTTTTGAACGATATTTTCCGAGTTTCAGCTGTAGTTTGAATATAATCTGTACGTACTACATTCGCCATGATGTCATTATCATGTGACCTGCCAGCATCAGTTGCGTCGCTTCACTGTCATTCATAAATCCTCTCCTGTGGCCTCATGGGATAGTAAAGCGTCCATCGTATGCACACTTCAGAATCCCGTCGGAAGAAGTTGGTCATCCGGGTACTTTTGCCTTTTATGAGGACGGTCGCATACTGTTTTTCGCCTACTATATAGTAGGGAAGTATGTGGTTTCGGACGCAGCCTATGAGTGAGTCATTGAATCATTCACTCTTAAGATTTGTTCAAAAACACTGATTCATCCAGTAATGAAACCAGTAGTTGATCATCTGGGTTCTTGTCACCTACTGGTTTTCGTATACTAGTGCTGCGTGTCAATTCGTATACTCTCGGTCCTAAATAGAATTCGAAAATAGAATTAGTGTGTCCTAAATCATAGTATGAATAAAAATCACATTTTACATTTGGTCAGTTCTTGCTTTCCCTGGGAATCGAATCCATGACCTTGGCGTTGCTAGCGCCAACACTCTACTGTTTGAGCTACAGGAAAACACTTGAGGAGAGTCTTTCTCTCTTTCTTTTTTACTTTTTTTAACTGTGAAGCTGATTGACAGGCCAGTTTAAACGCATTAATTAATTAATTAATTAATTAATTAATAAATACATTTATATTTAACAATATATAATTACTAATATTTAATTGGTATATCAATTGTATTTTAATTCAATACTTTATTCCATCCATCCATCCATCCATCCATCCATCCATTCCTCCATCTATCATCCATCTATCATCCATCCATCCATCCATTCCTCTATCCATCCATTCCTCCATCCATCTATCCATTCCTTCATCCATCCATCCATCCATTCCTCTATCCATCCATCGATTCCTCTATCCATTCCTCCATCCATCCATTCCTCCATCATCCATCCATCCATCCATTCCTCCATCTATCATCCATCCATCTATCCATCCGTCCATCCATTCCTCTATCCATCCGTCCATCCATTCCTCTATCCATCCGTCCACCTGTCCATCCATCCATTCCTCCATCCATCCATTCCTCCATCCATCCATCCATCCATTACTCTATCCATCCTCTATCTATCTATCCATCCATTCCTCCATCTATCATCCATCCCATTCATCTATCCATCCATCCATCCATCCATCCATCCATCCATCCATCCATCCATCTATCCATTCCTCCATCTATCATCCATCCATCCATCCATCCATTCCTCCATCTATCATCCATCCATTCCTCCATCCATCCATCCATTCCTCCATCCATCCATTCCTCCATCCATTCATCTATCCATTCCTCCATCCATCCATCCCTCCGTCTGTCATGGAATCTAAAAATTTATAAGTGGAAAAGAAATAAAAAATAAAAACAATCAGCAATTCAAATGTATGCAGAGACTCCGGTAGTGTTATGGGTTTTTATGTCCAGTGTCCACGTCTCTCATGCTTGTGATCTAGGTTTGCTCATAATGATCTGAGAGTTGCTTTGCACCTGTGCATGCTGGGAGTTGTTTGTCATGTTTCTGACTGCGATTCCTGCTTTCTCCCGCTCCAAGGATGGCTCTTTGAATGCCTCTCTCTCATGAATGCCACATTACACCATTATTCATCCATAATCAAATCATAAAACAAAAATCATAATTTAAATATCTTGGAGTGTATGTGGACTGTGACCTTTCCTGGACCTATCATGTAGACTACATCTGCGGAAAGGTACAACAGAGAATTTATTTTTTAAGGAGACTTAGGTCATTCGGAGCGAGTAGTGAAATCCTGTCTCTTTTCTTTGTGTCAACCATTCAAAGCATTCTGCAGTATGGAGGCGCAGTGTGGTTTGGGGGCCTCTCAGCTCATTTGAAGGCCAGGATTTTCCGACTCCTGGGAATTTGTTCCAAATTGGTGGGACAGTCGGTTGAGAAGGCGTTTATTGAAAGTCATGAAGTACATACTGTACGATTGGCTCATAAAATCACCCAAGATTATTCCCATGTGTTGAATCAAGAGTATCAACTCCTGCCCTCTGGGAGACGCTATAGGGTCCCGGTCGGAGTGCATGA